CACCGTGTATTTTTGTTGGAAAGAAAGACGTCCCAAGTGTTTCAGAAACCCCGTATAAGTTTGAAGGTATGCAACCCGCTCGCCGTCGTGCGGGCGGGCTTGCCTACGCGCTGGTCGGCGGGCGCCGCCGGAGCGATCACGGGTTGCCGCTCGTCCACTGGGTGACGTCCCCCTTCCCCTCGCCGCTCCGGTTGCGCTCGGCTGCCCCGGTCAACTGTCACCTCCAAGGTCACAGGTGGCGCTAGCGCAAGGGGGGCTGACTCTCCCGAACCGTGTACGAAGTATTATATATTATAGGCATTATAGAGTATTATAGGTATTATTCCGAATATTATATTTGGATAATTGTGTCGTTTTAAGTGTTTTTTCGTGTACCAAGGGTTTACAAAATACGGAAGTTAGTTGAAATCACGGATTCCGGCTTGCGCTCTGAGACTCAAAATACTACCGCGCATCTTTAAGAGCCTCAGCACCTAGTCATCAGTCTTAGCGCCATTTTCCTACTTTAACGTTTCGTCTGGGAATCGCTGAACGCTTATTCACCACAATTTTACAAAATTTTCTCATTTTAAAACCGGAACTGCACTAAACGTGCGGCATTTTTTGGTATTATGGATTATAGTATTATAGGTATTGTACAAGTATTATAGGGCTGTGTACGAAGTATTATAGGAGTCAGCCCCCCTTGCGCTAGCGTCGTCTATCGGCCGCCAATCAAACCATCTAGAAAGATGTCGCTTAATTCGCAAACATTCGCCGATCGGCGGTTCGCGACATGCCACCTGTGACAGTAGACCGGGCCAGCCGAGCGCAACCGGAGCGGCGAGGGGAAGGGGGACGTCACCCAGCTGCACAAGTGGACGGACGAGTGGCAACCCATGATCGCTCCGGCGCCCGCCGACCAGCGCGTAGGCAAGCCCGCCCGCACGACGGCGAGCGGGTTGCATACCTTCAAACTTCTACGGGGTTTCTGAAACACCTGGTACACTTCTTGAAAGTCACCCCTTCCTGAGCCCCCTCTGCACCAAGTTTACTCGTAGAAATTCCCCTCTCTTTGTGTATCGCAGTTCTCTTGGAGATCTAAGTTTAGTTTAGTGTCATAGGCTAGGAAAGAGGGGAGTAGCAACTTTTTCCCTACAGACCTGTAGGGACTTTTTGCTCATTTAGGTTCGTTTTAAGGGGTGATGTATACCGTCTGGTCTATCCCCCTTTGGGTCTCGTTATCTTGGTTCGTTTTATGGGTCCTGGCCCCCTGCTTTTGTGTGCCACTGGTTCGTTTTTGTTCTCCAGGAATGAAAAGTGATCGTTTTGTTTGAGCTCGCAGGGAAAAACCCTTGCCGACTGGTTGCGGTTCTCCTGGGAACCATCCCAGGTGGTTTCTTTTGTCCACGCGGTCTCAGTTATTTTGTTCATCCGCTCGGGTAGGCACCCAGTGCAATCCTTGGATTATTGCCTTTGGGTAGTGTGGGGAATTTCACCGCCACTAAAAAACCCTGTCATTTGATTTGCTTCTCTGATTCTTCGTCTGCTTCGAAAATGGTTTCTCCTGTGCCGTCGCACTTTAGCCTACCCGATTCCTCGCCAGGAATCTGTTAGCTCTTTGTTTCCCCATCCTTCAGGATTTCTTTGCAATCTGTTATTTATGGTCTTATCCCTTGGCTTCGTCCATCTGATACACTGTCGTCTTCATCTTACCGCTTTCCGGACCTCTGGGTTTTGGTGCTCTACAGGCCTCTTCCCTGGTCCACGGCACCTTCTTCGTTTGCTGCCGTACGGCCTTTCTGTGCGTCCGTCCTGAGAGACGCCTTCTTGGAGCACGTCCTTGAATCACGGCTCTCCTTGTAACCTCCAAAGAGACAAGCTCAAAGAACACTTGCATGAAAGCAAGCCGGCCCCTGCACGAAGATGGCAGGGGCCTAGGTTCCGTCTGTTTGACCTGCGCTTGGCTTCCCAGGGCTTGCGCAAGCCTTGGTACTGGGCCCCCTGACCACGACGAGGTGGCAGGTCGTGGGGGCACATTGCTTGTTTTCTCTTTCGCTGTTAATTGCTTTGTGTGCTCGACACCGCCGCTGGTCAGGCGGCAGTGCCCCCCAGGGGGGAGACCTGTAGGGACTGTAGGATTGCCGGCGATTGTGTTTATTTTGCCTGCTGGTTGCCTTCTGTCAGGCGTTTTGGGAATCTCACAGGGGGAGTGCGATCGCCCCTTCAGCCTCCCCCTTCGACCGCGCCAGTTTGTTGCCTACCGAGTCGGACGGACCACTGTCTTTACCCCCCCCACGCTTGTAGGCAGAGCAGCAAAGCTGCATCCATTCGCAGGGCGAATGTAGTACCTAAATTTTCAGTTACACCGTGGCTTCGAGCGAATAGTCATTCCTGGTCAAGAGGAATAATGATTGGTTTTGACAGGAGTTTGCACACTGGTTTGCCAAGCCTGTCATTGACCCACACTTTTGAAGTCATCAATCAAGTCTCAAAATATTTCTGAAGTTGATGTTTGATTTTAAGTTTAGTTTTGAAATATAATTTACACCACTGCTGTCGTTAGTACATTTTTCCAAGGTTCCAGAACCAAATCACTGACCCAGCAGCCGCAAGGTAGACAGTCAATTAACTTATTTATTAAGCCCAGCCATCACAGACAGAGAAATCAATTCACTGATTCATTGAACACAAACATAGGTCATAGACTGAATGTGAGATATGATGATCACACAGACAAAGGGATTAAAGTGATTAAAAGGGAAAAAGTTTGCTGCACATTTCGATATTGCTATATTTATTATTACTAGACAAATACTTTCACTTTAGGTACATGCGTAAAAAAAAAAGGAGCACTCAATAGAGACTTTCAGCACATTGCAGGTGTAATCATTACACCATTTCATTTATTATTGTAACAGCTTCAGTGAGACCCATTCCTTCCAAGGTGTAGGCGAAGTTTTCTGGGCTGGCATCCTCATCAGTTTCAACATAAAATTGTAACCACTTTCTTGCCTTTGTTGCATCATCAGTATCTTCAGCAGTAATGTCACTAAGCTAAAAGAAAAATGACACAAGAAACAGTTGTAGTAAAACAGCAAGAAATGCAATGTTAAAAAATTCTACCTAAGATTAACTTTGTGGGAGAAATAAAAGATGACTTCATACCTCTTCTTTTTTATACCCCAATTTAACAGCAATTTTGAGCCACACTGGTGCAACACATGTTGCAAGTGCATCCAACATTTCTTCATTGAAAGTTAGGGGTCTCTTATCTTCTGCTTCATCTGTGCGTGTAGCAAAAACCAACAATTTTAGAAACAATTTATCTTCCAGGAAGAGTTTAATGATGATTGACATACCGTCTTTACTTTCTTCATCTTTGGATTCATCATCTTTAGATTCTTCTTCTTTCAGAAGTTCATCCTCCTCCTGATCATTTTCCGCCCCATTCTCCTCGGCCTGCCCTTCAAGGACCTCTTGTTTCTCCTCTTGAGTCATGCCCTGTTGGAAGAAATCAAAACAGTTTGTTGTAAGTTGTATATAAAAAGCATGCGGTGGGCTGACCCACTCTCATTTAGGAAGCCACCAAACCATATCCAAAGAAAACAAAACCACTAACATACTTGAGAGTTCTGCTACAAATGAAATTTTAAACGTTCCCACTCCCTAAAAAGAATGTGACACATTTACTCACTGCTCCTGCTGAAGGTCTATCCTTAGCTATTTTCTTAATCATTGTCTCTAAATACTCTGGCAGTTTGGTTATATTGTTACTGCTGAGGGTGAAAAAGTGTGGACTTCTGCGAGCAAGAAGGCGCAATGCACGCCATCCAAAGTTGCCATCATTGGTCTTTCTGCAATGGAAGTACAACCAGTTACCAGCACTTCTTAAAATCAGAAGATATAAAAATGCATGCGAAATGAAAACTTACTTGTAACTATCTTCTACCATAGCACTGGGATCGGTTTGTTCAATAGCTTCTTCAAAATAAGTATCTAATGAGGGGAGGAAGTCTCTGTCTCTACCTCTGCATGCTTCGAGGTTGTCTGGGCATACATTCCATAATTTTGTAAGCTCCGAGCTGGTAAATCATGTACATCAATCAGAGGCTGTTCTGAACAAATAATAAAACAAGGTTGTATAGATACAACCCACACATCCCAAAAAAAAATACTGACTTCCCCATTAAAGTCCTCCCATGGTTTAAAGAGTCTTTGGTCAATTCTCCAAGGGGCCTTCCTCTCCTCTTCATTTTTATTGGTTTCTTTCCTTCAGGAGCTTCATTATTATCTTCTGTGAGCTTCCGCTTCCCTCCCGGTGTTTGAAACTCTTTGCAGCCTTCATTTTTCCAATTACTCCATTGTTCTTCACGCTTCAATAAAGAAAAAACACAGAAAGATCACAGTGAGTAAAGAAATACTTGCATCACATCTTTAAACACAAACATATAATTGTGAGGAAATACCTTGAGTATGTGTGTGACAGCTGCAAGAAAACTTGGGCCATCTGGAGGGGTCTCTTTCATCAGCCTACATATTAATTCTGTTGTTTCCTTAACCCATTCTAGCTGGTCTTGCTTCAGCTCAAAGGTATCCCTTGAACCAATAAAAGGTAAATTAGTGAATTTAACAACATGATAGAACTATAATCAGCACTTAAGATAGATCTTAATTGAAGTAAATCCAGACTTACGGCTTGAACTTGACTTGAGAGTCGAGGTATTGAAACAAAATAAGAAACTGCAGTAAAACACAACGCCGAAAATTTGAGTCACTTAATTGTAGCTCCAGGAGCTTTTGATTTGTGAGGTACTTGGCAAAAAATGCTTGACCTGAAGGTGCACTTCCCTCATCAACATCCATTTCCGAGTTAGATTCTCTTCCAAATGACACATCCAGTTTCAATTTTTTGCTGTCTGCTATATCATCAAGTTTGAAACTACTAAATGCTGATAAAACACTGTTTGCATGCTGAAAGGCACAGACAATGTCAGCAAGCATAAAATGCAAAAATATCACAAGCATATTTTACAGGTATCACATACAGAGGAGAAAGTTTTCCAGTGGACTCTGTCATAACACTGGTTGGGATTACGGAAGAAATCCTGCAGTGACCAGAATTTGCTGTATAGATTGTAGTCAATTGTAATCCTACACAGAAAAAGACAAAATAGGATAATAATACAGATGAAGTTTAGATAAAATTTATACCTAGTAAAAATGTATCAGAGGAAAACTATGTACCTCATGTCTGCTTTGTCTGCCTCTTCTTGGTCATTGTCCTCCTCACCTAGAAGTTCTTTAGTTCCTTCGTCCTCTGTACCATATTGAGTAATATTCTCAAGATTAAATTCACTAACCACATTCAACCCTGAGAGCCAATGCATAAAAAAAAATACAGTTCAGATTAGAATGACTTATGAGCAAACAGACAGTAAGCGTATTGCAGGTGTGAGCGACTTACCAGAACGTTCTGAGAAAGGGAAAAATTTGGCAAGAAAGAGGAGAATGCGTCCACAAAACACAGTGTTCTGTGATCTGGACAAACGACGAAGTAGATCTGAGTTGCATAAATCAGGACTTGAGTTATACAGCAACTGAACTTGGAAGACTAAAGACACATACGATCAGAAAATACTTTCAGCATACCATTGCACATTCTAAGTAGATTATTCTTGCATGGGGTGAAAAAGAGCTCCTCCTTCCACATAGTCACATTTTCTTCAACATAAGCGAAGAGGCATTCACATTGTTGAAGAGTAAGGGCATCGAAGACATCTCCCAGTAGCACGACAGGCATGGTGGGAGAACATAGAGATTGTTTGCAAGCTAAAATGCAAAAGGAAATGTACTGTTCCCAGACGGTAACATTGCCTGCAGTCCTCTTTGATGGTGATAATAGCTCAAGAAGATAATCTCGTAAAACCTGATCAAGTGCCGATTTTTTATCAGCGTCTCTGCAAATAATGAAAGTTGTTGTTAATGACCACCCACAAACTTAGAGATTGTTTACACGCGTCTGTCTTTACTTACTCAGCAGAAAACAAGTTAAACTTCTTGATGAGAATATCGACATCTTGTTTATTGAAACTTAGTTTAAGAGCATCCTGGGAGACAGAGAAGAGGTACCGGGTTATACAAACAAAGGGTTTACATAGACAATTAACATAGCAAGGCTAAGAATGAATGTGAGAGAGGGCGGCTCGGGACTCCAAAACAAATAGTTACAGTAGAAAAAGTGGAAGAGAATCAGGTGGGAAGCCCGGCGAGTGAACTGATGCAGGTAACGAACTCCAGTTGGAAACGAGCTCGGCAAAGAGAAGGGAAGCGTAGAGGATCAAAAGTCGTGACTAACCAAGTAGGTTGCTCGCATTTTGTCAAAATTGTTGCTCTTCGCCATTGTTTGCGTGACCTTCTTCATGGACAAACAGGGAATATGTGCCAAATGTTCACAAGAAAATAGAAAATAAAGACAAATGTTGATGCGTCGGCTGTTCTTATTCTTGTTGTTCTCCCTGTCAGACGCGGATAGAGGGCGCCACCGGGCCATGTGCCGCTCCTAGCATTTCTGCCTTGTCCTTGTCGCTGTCGAAGAAAATAGTCGAAACACGTCGCCGACGCATGCACGGCCAAATTTGAAGAATTACTTAGTTATTATTCACCGTAATTACTTGTAGTTTCTGTCAGTCATCGCACCACAGACTTCGCCATGTACAACGACTATGGGGATGTAAGTAACCAGCTTTATTGATACCAGTGCCGGGGGGAAAGTCGATTAACCTCTTCTTTGCGGTCTCGGCTGCACCATATTTTGTTTAGATTTCGTGGATTTTTAGGTTTTTCGGTATTGAACGGGCAGTGTGCTGTTCTATTTCTTTTATTTCTTACCAGATAAGCATTCAATAAATCATTCGTCTAAGCTTGGTTTTCATTAATTAAATATACTGTCATGTTGGTTCATTTGTTCATAGCACTTCATCTTTCAATGAAACACTTAACGCTCTTCAGTTGATCTTACGATGCTGGTTCCCTTTTTACTCACAAAATTTCGTTTTCCAACCATCATGCATTCTTACCGAAATGTTTTAATTTTCAGGATTATGACGACTATGGTGGGCGGTACGGAGAGTATGAACCACACACTGGTGATCCAAGTGCTGATCTCAAGTACGAGCAGATGTATAAAGTTCCTGATGTTGTAAAGAAATTCTTGGTGTACTTCAGAAACGTTATCAACGATGGTCTTATTTTTGAAATCCAGAATCTTTATGAAAACACGTAAGTTGTCATTTATTTTAAATTATAATTATTTGTTTCTTTTTATATTTCTTAATGTTTTTAACACTTCCATGTTACTTTTTAGGTTCCCTAAGCTTACAGAGCAGTATTTCAGTCAATGCTCATGGCCCAACGCAAATGACATTTCAGACTTTGTGGAAAGTGACAGTGTAAGTAGGAGCATCAAATAAAAGAATGCTGCTGCATATTCTTATTCTGTTTGTAAGGTTTTTTGACATTTTGTCTCTCTTCATTCTGTGTGCAGGTTTTCCTGATTTTATATCAAGAACTCTACTTCAGGCACATCTATGCTCAGGGCACACCCAACATTGATCAGAGGTTGGCCTCATTTTACAATTACTGTAACCTCTTCAACTACATTCTGAGTAAGTTGAAAATTTAGTGTAATGTTATTTATTTGATTTAAAACTACCATAATAATGTTACTTGACTGAAATGTTTTTTACAGGTGCTGATGAGCCTGTCCCTCTTGAACTGCCTGATCAGTGGCTTTGGGAACTGGTTGATGAGTTTGTCTACCAGTTCCAGTCATACTCTCAGTACAGAGCTAGACTGAACAAGATTCCAGAGGCAGATCTGCATGTGGTGAATGAGAACAACAAAGTGTGGAACGTACTTTGTGTTTTGAATGTTTTACATTCTTTGGTTGATAAAAGCAACATCAAGGCACAGTTGGAGGTAGGTGGAAAAACTCTCAAAGGCCTTGAAATGATAAAGTTGATAATCCATTTTCCCCCATAGTGTTGTTTATACCATGTTATCTTGTTTTAATCATGATCAGGTTTATGCAAGTGGCGGTGACCCAGACTCAGTAGCAGGCAAATTTGGCCGTCATTCTTTGTACAAGATGCTTGGCTACTACAGTCTGGTGGGTCTCCTGCGATTGCATTCCCTCCTTGGCGACTACTACCAAGCCATCAAAGTTTTGGAGAACATTGAATTGAACAAAAAGGTAAGTATTTCAAATGATTACTGTGAATAAATGCTGCCTCTACTTTTCTTACCCTTTCTATTATTATTTGTTTCAGAGTCAGTACTCGCAAGTTCCAGCTTGCCAGATTTCAATGTCATACTATGTTGGCTTTGCGTACATGATGATGCGCAGGTATGCAGACGCCATTCGCACATTCAGCTCTATTCTGCTGTACGTCCAACGAACTAAGCAACTCTTTGCAACAAGAACGTATCAAAATGATCAGGTGAGTAAATATTCTGTTTGATGCTCAAGGTATTTTAAAAGGGCTGTCTTATGAACTCATCTAAAATTTTCTTTAAATTTGCAGATTAACAAACAAACTGATCAAATGTACCACCTGTTAGCTATCTGTTTGGTGTTGCATCCACAGTGTGTTGATGAGTCCATTCAGCAAGTGTTGAGGGAGAAGAATTACACTGAGAAAATGTACAAAATGCAGTACGGTGATTTGCAAGAGTTTGAACAGTGCTTTACATTTGCATGCCCCAAATTCTTGCTGCCATCGCCTCCTCCAGCAGATGCCCCTCAAGAAGATTACATGAAAGATGCCATGAAGCATCAGACGCAGGTCTTCATGGATGAGGTGAAGCAGCAGAAAATGCTCCCCACCATCAGAAGGTTTGTTAAGATGTTTCATCTGATCTTGAACGAGGAGAAAAATGTGTGTTGCCTTAACTCCTGGAAACTCTGTTATGTTTTTAGTTACCTCAAGCTGTACACCACTTTGCCTCTATCAAAGTTGGCAACATTCATGAGCCAAAGTCAGCGATCTGGTGACAACTCAAAGACGGATCTCCACAAGGAGATGGCTGCACTGGGCATACACTTGCTGTGCTTCAAGCACAAAATGAAGAATGTAGTGTGGAGTAAGGGGGCCTCTGGGCTGGATGGCAAGTTCCAGTCTGGTTCAGAGGTGAGTTAAGCGTCCAAGCGTTAAGTTAAATCATATGTGTAACGTCTCACTACCTCTCACTCAATAATGCCTTTTTGTTTTGACAGCTTGATTTCTACATTGACAATGACATGATCCACATTGCTGATACCAAAGTGGCTCATCGCTATGGGGACTTCTTTATCCGCAAAGTGCTGAAATTTGAAGAGCTCAACCGTAAACTGCACAATATTCAGGTGTAACATGCCATAACAAATCATGTTATAATACTTCATATTAAAGATCATACTAAATTATCATCATTTATTATTTCTTTCAAATAAACTAATTTTTGGTTGAATCTCCCTCGATTACAACAGATTCAAAACCTTGCAATTGACTTAGTATTTTCTTGGCTGCACCCTTGCGCTGGAACATATCAGGATTCTCATCTCTTAATTTTTTTAATTTGGCCTTTCGGGTAACGGGTGAAGCTGTTGGACCAAGACGTGGAAATTTGTGCTTCAAAGCATTAGGTTCCACATATTTTTCCAGATATGTTGTGTCAGCTTCTGTTTCTGAAGGGTACTTTTCTCGAAATTGTTGCCATGGATGGTATGGAGTCTCAATTTTGACTTCATCTTTCCATTTGGGATACGTTTTACAAAATCTTTTCATTTCATCTAGAGTCTTGGGTGCAAATTTTGCTGGGCGCATCTGACAAAAAATGTTACTGCATTAAGCTTAATCAATACACTGCTAGAGAGTAAACCACACTATACCAACCCTGAGAATATTTTGACATTTCTCATAAAACGAATCGATTTTCTTCAAAAATCTTGAGTTGACTGCCATTTCTTCATACTCAATGACATCTAGGACGAGTTTGACATATTTCAGGTCATTACATATGGTGGCACATCCCATCATTGCAGTCATGAATTCTATACCTGGCCTGTAATTTTATCAGGAATGGAATTGGTAAAAAGTTTATTGCGTAGTTCCTCTTTATCAAATGTGTAAATCTAACTTACCTGAGACCTGAAGCATCCAGTGATTGGAGTAGCTCATAACCATCTTTTCTGCTTCGACATGTCATTGCAAGATTTGTGTAAGTTTGCATATCTGGCAGTAAACCATAGTGTGCAATCATGGTCAAGACATCCTATAAAACCAAAAGTATCAGAAAATTAGTATATTTTCTCATTAGAACAGACCAGCAACAACAGATGGGGCCAACCTTTGCTTCAGAATACTGTTGCCTTCTAATTCTACGCAGTATCAATGAGTTGAAGAATATCAAGTCCGGTGTCAGTTCAAGTTTGGAAATGATCTTAAGCAAGTGCTGATCAGAGACAAAACTTAATCAATTATCTTTCCAGCTAATTATCACTAAGACTGAAGACTACAACAACACAATACTTACCTGCTCTGCAACACATGATTCTGGGCTACAATCAAGCAAGATGTTTGCAGTTCTAATATCAGGTTTAAGATTATGACTGGCCATTTCTGAAAGAAATCCTTCAACACCCCCCAGAAGAAAAAGCCTGAAAAAAAAAAAGAGAAAAAAATTACAATTTGTACCCACTTCTTCACCAAATGACTTCACTCACTACCTGTCTTGGCATGTAGCTATCTCAGTGATGCTCACTAAACACCCAAGGGTAGGTTCCCTTGCAAAGAGATTTGGTTGCAAATTAATTGGAGAATTACTTTCAGAGGATAATGGCTGTGGACAGAGAACACACAGATGAAAAAGCCTTGTCATGGGTTATTTCATAAAATTTTCATTATGTCTTTGAGAACATACCAATTGTGTTACAGGCTCCTTGCTTGTTCCAGCAGCAGTTTCAGCTGAAACTGATTCACTCTCTTCCCAAGCATAGCCAGTATCCAGCTGAGGTACATTGATCTAATTGGAAAAAAAAAAAAGCTTTTATTAAAAGAAACATTTTTAAAAACATCACCAAGAAGGCAATAGTTTTGAATTATTTCTTTTACTGATCAGTCATCACAGTACAAGGGAATTACATTTCCTGATGTAAGTTTATCAGCATCCTTCACTCCAAGCATTTTAAACAAGTCCACTGTAGAGTCAAGATCACCAATACCACAGTCTCGAACACAATTTAGGAACATATTGAAATGGTAAAGATCTGGCTTTATTTGATATTGGGCCATCTTTTTATAGACTAACAGAGCATGACGGAAACCTGCTTCCCTGTCAGCTCTACAGGCAAGAAGAAGGTTGCTCATGGTGGCACCTGTGAGAACCATTTTCCTGCTCATCATGTAGTCAGCAACTTTGAAAGCATCCTCCAATGACTCACACTTAGCAAAAGCTGAAAGAAAAATTGAAGTCATTGCAAAAGTTTTGTTCCAGATTTACGACATTGTGCCCACATTTTCAGACATATGCATGTTGCGAACCTTTAATCACAGCATGACAAGTGATTTCATTTGGTGGAATGCCTTTCTCAATCATCGATGAAAATAAATGACGGGTTCGTTTCAAACCATCTGATGGGTAAGGACTGTTTGAAAAAGAGTTGAAAAGAGATGTGTAAATACTTGCGGGCACATTTAGACCTCTTTTCTTCATCTGTAAGCACAGAAAATCATACAGTAAACGGGTACATATTATATCTTTGAAAAGGCAACTAAAAGCATTTTGAATAACTACTAACATCATTAAAAAGTTTGAAGGCCATTTTAGAATAGCCTGTCTGCCCACAATAACTGATAAGGAGTGCATAAATGTAATATGATGGTTTTAACCGATCATGCTTTATCATAGTTACTTGCAGTACATCTAAAGCATCAGCAAACTGCAATAGTAAAAATATATTGAGTTTTCGGTGTTTCTTGCACAGGTAATAGAGGACCACAGGGAAGGCATAATCACTCACACGTCTCTGCGCCAAGAGCTTTTTGATTCTTTTGACATATTCTTTTTGAGGAAGATAATTTGGCAGCTCTGATACATAAGCGTCTTCTCTTTGATCGTCTTCTGAACCCTCCTTAAAATTCTCAAGATAAGGATTTGTTTTCTCCAGTGTCCCAAAAGTATCCGGATCATCTTGAGGACCTGCTACAAAGTCTTCTGATTTAACAGGAGATCTATTGACATAAAAACAAATATATAAGTAAACTTCAAAACTGTAAGATCAATATAGACAGCAAAACAATCATTTGGACGAACAATGTGAAGACTCACCGAGGTAAAGATATTTTGCTATCATTTTCAAATTTACTTAAATCTTTGTAAAATCGACTTTCTACAGACGTTAAAGACGTCACTTTATTTTCAGTTTTAGGATCTTCTTCATTGTTTGAATTCTGAGATGAAAGAAATCTCGAAATGTGGTATATGTGTCTCGCACTGTCTGCTGGACCCCATTTAAGAAGCAACTTGGATAAACGGTGGAAGACCCCCACACGGAGCAAATGCCCCATTGAAATCTTTAGTTTGTTTTTGGTAATCTCGAAGGTACGAACACTTGACACGGCACAAATACAGACCAAGAATCAAATTCATAACACAACACTCTATAGAATGATGTAAACAACGTGCGCCATCCATCCATCCACCGCCACCTAGAATAGAATTTAGTTCTGCTCGTGCGCTACGTCATTGGCGTCTTTCATTCCTTCCAGATGCACTACCCCCGGTGTCTCTGGGAAGGGAAGGGGACGGAGAAGGAGGCATGGAGTCGAAGGAGGGGAGGAGGGACATTTTGAAAAGTCAGAAACCTTCGAGGACAACAAAATTTGGTCTTAAGCACATCCCACCCATAGCACCATGCCGAGGGGTGACGAACAAAATAAACGCCTTGCCTTCCCCTCTCCACCCACCCTGCCGCTCCCTGCCCTGGTCAAGGGTCCCTTGGAGAGGGAATTCCCGAGAATTCAGTAGTGTTTGGGAAGAATCATAATATACCTTGTCTTATTGTTTTCTTCAAAGACTTTAATTACCGGTAATTTCTGGAAGCTTAACTACATGGGAGCTTATCAAACTACGTACACATGGCAATTAAAATTACAATAAAAAACAGTACTGCAGATAAAAATAATTGGATTAAACTTCTATGCTAGGACATTTAACACAGCACATAGCAAAATAAAGATATGTTTCACAATCAACAATGCAGCTTTTGATGGCAAGGGGATAATACTGAAAATAGCTAAGACTGCTGCCTATTGGGGAGGAGTGAGGAGTGCTTAGGGCATATACTGGTAATATTTTGTTCAATCTTCTTAAAAAGTATAAACATGAAGATGTAAGTACTGCTGAAAAAATATATTGCAGGAGGGGTAGCCCAAAACGTGCCACAGATGGATTTTTGTAAGTACATACGTGAAGCTAAGCTTTCTGTTTGTGTGGTTACCAAAAGTAATTACTAACTCATGATTAACTTAGATTACAAATCTAACAACATTATCAATAAAATAGGACGGATAATGGGAAGCAAGATTCTCAAAATACGAAAGGGGACAAATACAAAATTATCACATCTTCAGAAGCCTATTAACATCAGTCTGAAACTTGCATCATGCTTGCATACTTGACTAAAATTGTCAATGCCAATACAAGCACTCATGAAGACAGTGTAATATTTCTCTGTAGCAAAAATGTGAATCTACCTAAGAACACATTAAGAAAGGGCAGGTACATTTTTTCATTAAGGAGTTGAACTTAAAAATAAGTTTAAACCCACAAGAAAAATATTAACTACGGTGTGCTCTTCCATAGGCACAAATAAACCAAAAGAGAAATACAAGGCCGAAACAAGAGGACATGTACAGATACAATTTTAGGTGGATCAATCTATTTGGTAGCCAAAGAACCGCATACTGAAGCTCCTTTCTTGTTTCATCTGAAAGTAAACAATGCATCTGTGAATCTTCTGGACATTAAAATAAGTAGGAAGATTGTAATACTTTCTGTACTTACCAAACAATGCATAACCATATCCCATATTATAGACGCCCATCCTGTAAGAGCAAGTCGGAACCTCAATCTCTTGAACTGTATTGAACGAACCATCAGACCAACCATCTTCATAATCTTTGTCTTTGGTTTGGTTCACCTGGCCTAGCTGAACTGGACCAATCATATCATTTAATGGTGATGGATTCTTCATTGTGGGCCCTCGAAGACGTGACAGATGTGAATGAGCAGAGAAAATTACATGAGGCTTGAAGTCTTTAAGGACCTGAATATGTGAAAAAGTGGGACAAAATTACTTTTAGAACACAGTACTGTGTTCCTCTTACTTACTGTGTTCCTCTTACTTAAGAGGAATAAGTCTTTTGCTTTAAACATGGCAGTCACATTTGACTTCTATAAAATGGAAGTGGTTGTCACAGCAAATGAAAAGACTCTACCTTCTCTGTAAAAGGAGTGCTCATGCCCAGCAGAGGAAAATGGCTGACACCGATTCGAATGAACTTCTCTGAAGTGACGTGACTGGGATCTGGACGGGGCATTGGCTCCAACACTGGATTTACCTTTGGAAAGCAGTGAAGAAAGTGAGGAAAGTAAAAAAGTACAGTAGTGAAAGAATGATTCAAGGAATGGCACTTTACCTTTAGAATTAGGCACAAATTGACAATCAGCTCTTTAGTTTTGTGAAAAATATGGCGAAATCGATATACCACAGACGGTAAAATAGGATCACCATTCTCTCCACCTATGTCATTATCACCTGGGAGAAACAAGCTCTAGAAACACAAAAAAAGTTGTAAAAAAAGTGAAATGAAATACTTAAAAGATCCCATACCTGGCAAAGTGGTACAAGAATGCTTACCTGTGGGACGTTTTCCAATGGAAATATATTAAAGAATCGGTCTACATATCTCTGGAATTCGAAGTCATTCGCTCGGTTGCCTTCATCCATTAAGTCTCCAAGGAATACAACCGCATCAGGTTGAATGTGAGAAAGTGCCAACAAGAATGTACGATGCAAGTATCTGTCGCAAATCAGAGAAGAATACAAAATAAGTCTTTCATCTCACGCAGAGCAATATGAATAAGCCACTAATCCCAACTCACCGATCGTTATCCCAAATGGTTATGCTGTTAGGTTCATCCAGTTCCCCTAGTATTTGAGGATCGGCAACAAACAGAAATCTAGTACATTTGGAATTGGTGGGGCAGTGCAGACTCTGCCAGGTCCAGGCTTGAACGAAATATATAAGAAATTCCAAATAGAAAATAGAAAGGAGCACCAAAATGAGAATCGACGTCCGCCGCCACTTCCTATGAAAAATGAAAACAACAAACCAGATGTAAACATCAGCAAGCAGACACCAAGAAACCAGTGAAGGAGGTTAGGTGCATGTAAATCTTACCCATTTTTGGCTTTCCACGCCATTGATGTCCTCAAACTGGGACCAATGAGTGTGTAAGCAGTTCGATTCATTAGGACCTAAACGAAGAACCTAAAATATGATGATATTCAAGGTAGAAGAACGAAAAGTTTTCGCCGTAGTTTTCGACAGCGGTGGGAACCACTAGGCATTTGTGGGTGTCTGACAAGATGGATCTCATTTCGAACAATAAAATGTCTCAAAAGAAATAACTGAATCCATCCATGACTAGGATCCTGATGATTACATGTTTTGATTTTGGATTGTTGATCATGCTCCCACCGCTGCTGGAAGAACAACCACCACCTACCCCCCTCACCCCCGCACCCTTGGCGAGTACCCCGCCCCCTGATCGTCCCACCCACAACGTACGTAAACTATCAAATTGGTCAGACTTTTGCTCACCATTCTTTGCTTCAGCTGGCTTTAAAAATTCACGTTTCAGATAGGGACACATTGGATGATACAAGAAACGAAAATAAATAAGTTCCGAGTGAAACCGCTGGGAAAGATGTTTGTATTTAGCCGCCGCCAACAAGCGGTGAGACAACCTGCCGTCGCTAACGAAAATTTTAAGCACTTAACACTCTGAGTTGTTATCATAATAGTTTGGTCAAAACATGGATTCAAATTCTTCATATTTGCTTTAAATATTTTTGAAAGTATGGGGAGAACGACGGCAAGAAATCTGGTTGAAGCTCAAAATGCAGCGTTGTGGTGCGGTGGCTACACTGGAAGCAGACTGGAGTTTTGCAACATGGCGCCTCACACTTTGATGTTGTTTTGAGTGTTTTGGAATTTTAGGCCCCTTTTAACTGAAGTTAAGAATGAATTCGTACATAACCAAAGGCCGTGTGGCCGTGGCGAGTTGTGTCGCGCTGCTTGGGGCTGCCTGCTACGGTGTCATAGTGTATCCCATGAAACACGCGCAAGAATACAGTGAGTGGCAGATGCGTTTCTTAACCTTGCACGGAGTGCCTGCTCCGCTGCTCCCTGCCCTTTGTTTTCGCTTTCAGGATCATCTCGAGCGCCCTGTACTCGCTCTCGTTTGAAATGCATGTTCTCTTTGTTCTAGTGCGTATCCAGGATGAAGTACGGCAAGGGATAGACCGAGAACAAATCCAGCCTGGAGGTATGTTTCGTCTTACGCTTTGGGGCTCTGCTGGTTAGCTGGTTTACTAAAGATTTTCAATTTTTCCCGCAGGCATGAGGATATGGTCCGACCCCTTCAAGGAGCGAGTGAAAGAAGAGCCTCTTTATCTTCAAAAACTTAGAAAAGAGAGAGGAGGTTGAGTCAGTGTTTAGATTGATAGGTCACGTTAAGTAATTATGATTGTAAATAAACTGTACTTGTTTCATATTTTTTAATGTTACTTCATTTCTTTTATACAGCCTATACCATTACCTATAAAATAATAAAAAAAGAATAATCACAGACTAATTAATTAGGGGGGGTTCTATGTACGTAGCACAATACACACATTTGTTTTAGCATTTCAAGAGACTAGGGTGCCCTACTCATGATTCTGAACAGTTACAACTCTGATGAAACTGTAATCTATTTTTCTCAGCAAAGAAGGATAAACTACAACAAAATGTCTTTGAGAGATGTCTTCACTAAGTATATATATTTAACTTAAGAAAATTACAAAATTTTAGTTGAATTTATTTTTACAATTTTTTTAAATAATTCTGAACTTCATGGTGATATTAAATGGTTAATATTTGATGAATCACCCTATGAGAGAAACTAGCCGGAGGTGTGCGAGCCACTTTTGGAAGCATGCTGACTCTCTTCCACCATCTTTGGTGCCAGCAGTGTTGTGTAGTAAGAGTTGAAATCCATTCTGAAAAAGAGAAGAAATTAAGGCACTGCGTAAAAATACATTTTTACTAGCAATAGTAGAGAGAACACACCTATATAACACATTCAGCATTTTTTCACTGTTGTCCTCTGCTGCCAGCTCTTCAATTTTGTTTAGCAAGCAGATTAGAGCAATTGAAAACTGCTCATCAAAATTAGAAATCGATTCTTCAAAGTTTTCCCCTATGGCAATACTGGAATATTCAAGGCTTGGAGCAGCGGCCTGAAAAATACAAAAGCAAGTTAAACCACAGAAATGCTTAAAATTGAGATAGGAAGAAAAGTTATCCAGATAGGCAAGCACAACTTGAGAAATAAAAGACATAAGCATATATATACTACAAACAAAATCACCTCTCTGCATGCATAAGACAGCACCAAATGCCAATGAAATATATATATACAATACAGAAGATGATAGATGAAACTTTTGAATTGAAGAGTTAAAAATATGACTGATTTCCGTTTAAACACAATACTGGTGAAGTTACTCTGTTTTCACCTTCCAGAATAAATGCACCAAATAGTACTGGCTACATCAACAAACAAAGAAATGATAACACAAATTATCCAAATTACGCTGCAGAACTAATGCTTCTCAGATTGGAGACACACACTACAAATCTACATGAATGACAAGGTCATTTCAATGCAGATAGACTCGAGTGAACAGTACCTCAGAGACATCACTCTCAGCGTCGGAAGGGGCTATCATAGAGTTGAGCTCAGCATCCACGAAGTACTTCTGGGCATTCTGTTTCAATGAGGACTCTGTTAGTGCACCACACGAATGATGAAAAGCATGATAGACCAATCAAGCCGTGCAGTGAAAATATATTGGCACACCCATGCAGATAATCAACATGAGCATCGGAGGCGACAAGTTGATAACAAAGATTGAAGATGCGGTGAAAGCCATGACATGACAACCAGTGCATGAAAGTGATGGGAGAAAAACCAAACCACTCGCACAGACCTCCATGATGCCCTAATCTTTTCCATCACTGTGAAACACTTGAAATGTGGAGGTGTGGAACCACTGTCTCCACACTTCAGGTGTGGAGTTCTCCACACTTGCACCAGACCAAGAGATAGAACACCACAAAGTGTCAAGTTCTCCAACATTTGGTTTCACAGAGATGGTTCTAGCCAAGGAGCACATCCACCAAACCGCGACCCATCCCCGCCCCTCCCCATGCCCCGTCCAGGGTCCAGGCGCTCACCTCGAAGAAGCGGCAGAAGGACACACACACGCCAACCAGCTTGTTGACGGTCTGCAGGAGTTCGGGTCTGGTCAGCATGCAGTCCTTCATGCAGGCGCACAGGAAGTCACTGTGGCAGGCCAGCACCTGATCGACGTTCGTCACCTGGAATCAAATCAAAGCGGTCAATTATGAGCCAGACACACATCCACATTGAGGCCCCCCATCAAGCATACACTCGCAGGATCTGGGTAGCCAACCCAACTGGCACCCTCCGCGACCAATAGCCACCGAACAATCGGTTTCCAAGCGCGGTATAAGGAGCTCCCCACAGGGAGGGCGATGGTGTATATTTTGCCTGCCTACAGGGGCATGTGATGTAGGTTGCCTACTATCAGGCGTTTATGGAATCTGCCGGGAAGGGGAAGGGGGGGGGGGTCACCCTAGCATCTCGGTTAGGCTCCAACGAAATGTGGCCATGGTGGGTGACCTTATAATCTGGATCCCAAGAGTGGAGAACTCCTCACTCCTTGGTGTAGAGTAATTCTCAACACTTGGACGTGCGGGGCTCGCAGTCTCCGTACTTCAAGTGCAAACTAGCTCAGAGAGGCTCCCCCCCCCCCTATCTCTAGGACGCATGGTGCAAACGTGGAGATCTGCACACTGAAAGTGTGGAGATTGCAAACTCTGCACTTCAAAGTGTGTAGACTGAAATTTCCACACATTTGCATTTGAAGTGTGGAGTTCTCCAGACTTGGTTTCATTTTTAAGAGGGTCCTGTACTTATTCAGCCCGTCTCCGCCTTGACGGCCTGACGGGGAACACAGTGGCATCCCTCGCCCTCCTCGAGGTCAGCAAGCCAAGCTAGCCTGGGGACGAGCCGAAAAGCAACAGGGTCGATACATCCCCAGAAGAGGGGGGGGGGTAATTGGTGCAGGGAGGAGGGCCGCACTGGACCGGCAGACCGGCGGGGCAGCATCGGGTCAGTGACCTTTGCCCCACCCAGCGTGTCCAGCGGCCGATTCCGAGAGGGAGATCCCATCTGACTGTCTCTCTCGCAACCACACAGCACGTCCCGTGAGTGCGAGACAGAGAGAAGAGAGCGAGCGAGAGCGAGACCCACCGCTCGGAAGCAGACTGCTGGAGCCTCTCGCGACCCCTAGTCGCCCCCACCCCGCTGTAGGCCGTGGCGCGGTGTCGCGGGTTGCCTACACTCCGATCCGCGGGCGCCGAGCAAGCACAACGGACCGCCGCGCCGCCCGCCCCGCCGCCCCGCCGCCCCGCCGCCATGCCGCCCTTCTCTCACGACGCCACGCCACCATGCCGCCCTTCTCTCACGACGCCACGCCACCATGCCGCCCTTCTCTCACGACGCCACGCCACCATGCCGCCCTTCTCTCACGACGCCACGCCACCATGCCGCCCTTCTCTCACGACGCCACGCCACCATGCCGCCCTTCTCTCCACGACGCCAACCGTTAACGCACCCCCATGCCGCCCTTCTCTCACGACGCCACGCCACCATGCCGCCCTTCTCTCACGACGCCACGCCACCATGCCGCCCTTCTCTCACGCACGCACACGCCCTTTTAAGGCCATGCCGCCCTTCTCTCACGACGCCACGCCACCATGCCGCCCTTCTCTCACGACGCCACGCCACCATGCCGCCCTTCTCTCACGACGCCACGCCACCATGCCGCCCTTCTCTCACGACGCCACGCCACCATGCCGCCCTTCTCTCACGACGCCACGCCACCATGCCGCCCTTCTCTCACGACGCCACGCCACCATGCCGCCCTTCTCTCACGACGCCACGCCACCATGCACAGTGGGCCGGAAGACCCGAGAAGACCGGTGGAGGGTGGAGGCGGCCGCAAGTCTAAACGCGTTTTGGGCTCCGGAGTCAGTAAACAGGACTCGAAGCGAGCGTGTGACCCACCAATGGATTGCTCTCCGAGCGAGGAATCCATTGGTGGGGTCACACGTTCGGTTCGAGTCCCATTTAGTGACTCTAAAGCTCAAAACGCGTCCGGGATTTTGACCACCTCCACCGGTCTTCTGGCCCACTGTGCGACGCCGAGCTCCAGCACGGAAATAAAACGCCATTTGCAGAGACCGTTCGACGAGGCGGGCCGCGCCAAGGGCCGCGTGCACCCTCATATTCCTGTACACTGTACATTCCCCACTCCGGGGGGCAAATGACGCGCAGCTCCGTCCCTCCGTCCCGACGGCACCACCACCACGGCGGCCTCGTTGGACTCAAGTGGCGCCCGGCAGACTGATTCCGAGAGTCGTTTTCGTCGCTCTGTCTCTCTCGCGCTCATGCGGCGTCCCTTATGGGCGCGAGAGAGACAGCGCGACTAAAGCGACTCTCGGAATCAGTCTGCAGAGCCCACTGTAGGACTCTGCAGCGGCGCCGTGGCCGCCGAGGGGCGCGGCGTCCCGGAAACACCGAAACTCGCAGCGGCGGCCGTTCGTCGCCTGTCTCTCTCGCACTCACGGGGCGTCCGTCCCGTCATCGGGGTGCGAGAGAGACAGAGCGACTGCTCGGAGCCAGCCTGCTGTCCGCTTCGCGTGGAGCGTCGCTGGAGAGGAACCCGGTCCAGTGCATCAGCCGCCATCATTCAAACTAATAAATGAAATGGGCGACGACAGGGGCTCTGTGAGCTACTGCACACTTCAAGCGCGGAGACAGCAGACCCCAATGACGTCCAAATGTGGTGAATTACTCCGCGCCAGGAAGTGGCGGAGTTCTCCAGACTTGTTAGCACAGCGATTTTACTGAAAAGTGGCCCCGGCTCGGCCCGACGCTGAAGCCCCATCTGCACTCGGCAGCCGCAGCCGGATGGGGAGTCGCCTCGCCTGGCCTGTCGACTCATTCCGAGGGCCGCCTTCGTCGCTCTGTCTCTCTCGCACCTACACGGGACGCCCCTGAGTGCGAGAGAGACAGAGCGACGAAGACGGCCCTCGGAATGAGTCGACAGGCCGGACGGCCAGTGCGTGGCGCACTGGGGCGCCGTGTTGTGGCCACAAGTGGTCGATACCCCGCACCCTCTACGCCGCGCCCCGCCACGCCCCGCCACGCCAGAAAGGCCCTCGTGGGAACAGGACCAGCCGGCCACTGGCTGGACACGACGAGGGCCGGCCTGGGCCTGGGGGGCGCCGGGTGTTGGGGACAGCAGACTGATTCCGAGAGTCGTTTTCGCCCTCTGTCGCCCTCGCACCCATAGGGGACACCCCATGAGGGCTAGAGAGACAGAGCGACGAAAACGACTCTCAGTCTGCAGGGCGAGCGAAGGGAGGCTTCATCGACAAGAGGCAGGCTTCGGTAGGCGCACCGCGCCACACAAGTGCATCGTGGGCCAAAGGTTGACTACCCGTCTGTTGCTATTGACTAAGGGCTTCCAAACCCCGAGGGAGCGTAATGTAGGGCTCTGAACGGACGACTTGGCCACAAGGGATCGAGTGCCTTTCAGGTGTGTCTACGCCTTTGGCACGCCCACCATGTTGGGAAATGCTTCACTGCGTGGCAGGGCGGGGTGTCCGCGATGACGGCTCCGTGGAGCGGCCGCCGCACAGTGGGCCAGAAGACCGGTGGAGGCGGACAAAACTCTAGGCGCGTGCAGAGCTCCAGAGTCGCTAAATAGGACTGAAACTGAACGTGTGACCCCACCAATGGATTGGTCTCCGAAAGAGGAATCCATTGGTGGGGTCACACATTCGGTTCGAGTCCTGTTTAGCGACTCTAGAGCCCAAAACGCGTCTAGAGTTTTGTCCGCCTCCACCGGTCTTCTGGCCCACTGTGGAGCGGCCTGTAAACACGGACAGCTGGGACAGCTGCTGCCGGCTGCTGCCTGCCTCGGCTCGCCTCAGCCGCGCAAGGCAAACCCAAACAAAGCACTGTCAAACCAAGAGTGGAGAACTCCTCACTTCCTGCTGCGGACGGAATACTGCACACTTGGATCTGTGGATAGTGTGCAGTAGCTCATAGAGCCCCCATCTCTTCGCATGGTGCAAAACCTGGAGAACACTTGAAGTGTGGAGACTGCAAACTGTGCACTTCCGGAGACTGCAAATTCCACACTTTCCACGTTGTAAGTGGGGAGTTCCCCACACTTGGTTTCACAGTGAGCGCAACGCAGTGGCGTCCCCAGCCGAGAAGGGGCCTTAGGGGGATTGGGGCACTCATCTGCAACACCAAGAGTTTGCTTTCAGGGCCGGCCAGTCCAAGCCACCTCCCCTCGGGAATCCCTCCCCCTTTCAACACGAGGGAAGTTTGCGTACGCCACCGGCGGGGCGGCTCCTCAGTCCCTCCACAGGTGCAAACACTGCAAACACCGCCAACAAACACAGAGGGGACAGAAAGGCCGATGCAACATTCAGAGTAGCGGGCAGGGCGGGGCAGGGCCGGCTGCCGTAATTTGGGGGCTGTTAGGAGAGGGGAGGGGGGACACGGCTAAACAGTGGAGACGGTAAGCTTCGCCGTAGATTCCACGACCCACCCCTTCATGAAAACGCCACTCTATTCTACGTGGCTTCCCCGCACAACGAAGACGACGACGACCAAGGATATTGGAACATTTGCCTGATCATCTTTGGTTCACACCCGACAAATCAGTTTTTCAGTGGTAGAACTCAAGCGTAGTTTTACGCCTTTCTTCAAGCGCAAGCGTAGTAGAACTACGCTCGGCTTCAATCAGAGTTCTCCATTTTGCCCCTCTCCCGCCTATCTAAATGCATGGGAGAATTTCTTCTCTACGCTTGACGTCAAGCGTAAAGTCTTCAAGCGTAGTTGTATGCTTGAATCAAGCATACAACTACGCTTCAGTTTTACCGGTGTAGGGGTGAGTTCGGAAGGAAAGAAAAGTGCACACCCCTGTGGTCGGCCTACTCCACGGATCACGGCATCCGATTGACAGGAACGAAGACTTTCATGATGAGTTGAAATAAAACTGTTAGAGGGATGGCTCAAAGTCCTTTTTTTTTCGAACGTACCTTCCTCTAGTCTCAGAAAACGAAATTGAATTGACTAACAGTCTCAGCGGAGCCCTTTCTAATCTTGAGTGAGTCAGTGTTTGAGCTGCACTGTGGGTGAGTGAGTGAGTGAGTGAGTGAGTGAGTGAGTGAATATGAATGGATGAATGAATGAATGAACGAATGAATGAATTAATGAATGAATGTGCGAGTGCTTGTGAATGTGTGTGTTGGTTGACTTCTGCCAGAATGAATCACAGCAAGCACAGCGATGTGTAAAACACGGTCGCACAAGTGTGAGATGAATGAACCAATCAGATTGTCGCAGCTGCAGTGGCGGTGCTCCCCTCGTTACGCCCTCCCCCTCCCCTCCCCTCCCCCCGCGAGTCCGGCTGCCTCGGCTGCCGCGCTGGAGCTGGTGGCCACTCCACTGGGTTGTGGCGCGGCGCGCGCGCAGTCCGTCAGTCCGCGGCCGACCCCCGTGCAGCCAGCACGCGGCAGCCTCGCAGCGAGTCGCGACCAGGCGACTACGGTGACCCCAAGTGACCCGTAGGGAACCAAAGTGATCCCAAGTGGCCCGTAGGGACCTACAGTGACCCCAAGTGACCCGTAGAAGCCTAAAGTGACCCCAAGCCACGACCTTAAGTTGTGTGACCTACAGTGGTAGGTGGTGACCCAAAGTGGGTATGTGTGAAGTGGTGACCCAAGTGGTAACCCGAAGGGACCTAAAGTGATCCACAGTAGTGACCCGAAGTGCCCGCACCGCGCACCCGTTCCAGTGACGTGCGCACGTCGTTCTCTCCACGCCTCGTCGCCCCCCGCGGGGCCGCCCTGGGGCCCCCGACAGGCGCCATGGCCTCCGTCGGCACCATCTTGAAGAGCGCCAGGAGCTGGGCGGACGACGACGAGTGACGAACCAGTGCAGAGAGCCAAGACGCGAATGCGCGAAACGAGGGGAAAATCAGAACCCTCGCCAGTGGGAGTGAGAAGGAGGGCAGTGATGAGTGCGACACTTTGAGCAGTTGTTTTTGTTGTTTCGCCGGCGAAGAAGAAAACGTGCCTGCAGCGTCGGTGGAGCATTCGGAACAAATCCCGGTAAATACACGAGGAGTGTCTGCGGCGTTGTGTGGCTATGAGTTGAGGTCTTTGGTAGAGACGTGCTCGACCACCGGACTGACCCAGTGCACGGTGGCAGCGCGTGCGCACACAAACACACCCACTCACACACTGACGTAACGCAGTGACGTCACTCAAGTGACACTTCCTTCCATTTTCAGTGCAGTGTGTCCAAAGTGAGACAGAGGCGACGATGCCGGCACGCCTGGTCAGTGATAGTACAGTGGCATTCTTCAGCTCAGTCTGGAAGTCACCAACTTTGGCACAGGAGATTCCTAACCTTAAAAAGACAGGCATATGCACGGTCGTTTTATCATTCACGGGACGGCAGGCAGCCGTCAAAGTCACTATGCTATTCAACGAATGTGACGTCATATTCGTTGAATGTGAAATTAAACGATGAAACGAAATGAAACGTTCGATTAAATACATTGTCACATTTGTTCTCACGTGACACGACCATCAAATTTGGATCAACATTCCAATTAAAGTGACATCACATTACGGCCGTGACAAAACTTAGATTCTAACGAATACGACGTTAAATAACAGTGTCTGGGTGGCGACAGAGTAATTCCAAGTAATTCCCTTTAAAGTGGCCTGATGCGTACCAGGGGCTGGTATCGATCTTCGATCCTCATGGGGACTGCGTTTAGACCTACCGCACTTATCAGTTGGGGGCCTGGCGCGCCTCCACAAAATTTTCCCGGTTGAAACAGTCAAAATCTCGATGAGGAATGCTCTAATCTAATCCACCAATAAGGTTTCATCTAGCTTGGAGACCATGGCGAGCGTTTTGAGCCAACAACATCAAAATATCGAAATATTATTGGTGTCCTCTTTTACAATAACAGCCCTCAGCAACTAAGGCCTGGAATTTTCCTTTGTTTCAACAGAAAGGATGCCTGCAAACACTCTGCTTGGGACTGTTATTTTAGTTTCAATACAAAATTTGTATGACTAATCAACACTGGTGACTGGTCGGCCACTCTGCTACTACAAAGGGCCACAATAAGAACCTTGATTTCCCTGGACAAACAACGGCAGCCATCCTTAAATTTAAAGGACAAGGCCCTGTGTTTACGTCCCACTAAGAGTACAAAAGTGTGTGGCCAATGCACAAAATACGCACGTTCAAGTTCTAGTTAGCGGTTCCAACTTATAACCTGATGTTCTCACCGATTTAGCCTCCACCCTGACTTCCCTGCTGACAGTTTGTATTACCCCTGATAAAGTAGCGTCACACAACAGCAAGCTTCACCTTGCCAAAATTCATTTTTCGTGTGTCTCCCTCCAGGCTGCCGGCCCGCCTGGCTGGACTCTCTAGCCTGAAGACAGATTCCGAGTCGTTTTCGTCGCTCTGTCTTTCTCGCACTCATGAGGCATCCCGTATAGGCGAGAGAGCGCCGAAAACGACTCACGGCATGGGTCCGCAGCGCCGCTTCGCCCACGACATCCGCAGGCCGCTACGCGTGTAGGCGCGCCGGTCGGTGCGCGGGGCGCGGCAGAGTCCTGCAGTGCGGGGGCGGGGTCAGGTGACGCGAGGTGAACGAGCCACACTGAAACCGAGTAAGGAGAACTCCGCACTTGAAATGTGGAGGTGTGGAATTTTCAGTCTCCGCACTTGGAAGTGCAGAGTTTGCATTCTCCACACTTCAAGAGCGGACTTCTCCACGTTTGCACCATGGCAAGAGATAGGGGCTCTGTGAGATACTCGGAGACTGCAAACTCCACGCGTCGAAGTTTGGAGAATCACTCCGCACCAGGATGGGTTGAGTTCTCCACACTTGGTTTGGCAGTGCAGCCCCGACGGCCTGGCTTTTCCAACGCCTCGCATATTGCCTGGCGGTAACGACCGTGGTTAGAACGGGGTGTGCGGAGGGCTTTTTGTCCTTTTATTATAGTCCGTTCGTGGCGAGTGACGTAAAAAGGGGGCGAGGCGGCGTGCCGCGGCTAACAAAGTGGCGCAAATGAGCACTCCTGTCCTCTGTAAAAACACCCTGGCACACCTGTGTGCCTGTGTGGTTGCAGTACACTGCAAATACATTGGTGAGTTTACGGGGCGCTCCGTTTTGAAATGCCAAAATTTGGCCTTCAGGGTCCGGGCGCGGATCTCGGGGAACGCCAAAATTTGCAACGCACAGTGGGCCAGAAGACTGGCGGAGGTGGCCAAAACTCTAGGCGCGTTTTGAGCTCCAGAGTCGCTAAATGGGACTCGAACCGAACGTGTGATCCCACCAATGGGTTGCTCTTCGAACGAGGAGTCCATTGGTGGGGTCACACGCTTGCTTCGAGTCCCATTAAGCGACTCTGGAGCTCAAAACGCGTCTACTGTTTTGGCCACCTCCAGCGGTCCTCTGGCCCACTGTGCAACGCCCCACAGTGGCGGATCCAGAGGTGGCATTGTCAACTTATTTACTAGTCAGTTTTTCGTGTATTTCTGATTCCTGGAATGCAAGCCGATCCGCGTATCAGAAGCATACATAACCTAAATAAATATTGCTCTCTGGGTGACCCTGCGCACCGGAGCCCCACCGGCGGGACTCCAGGTCGCAGCGCCCCCCCACGCCAGCGTTTCCGAGCCCCGATAAGAGCCGGCCTCCCTTCGAGGCCGAGTTGTCCGGGTGCGGGTAGTTAGTAGTGTGTGCGTCGGACGCCGGAGCAGACAGCACCACTCCAGTGAGCAGCCATAGGAGCCACGACCATGGATCCCTGGTGAGTGCGCCTGCCGTAGGACCGAGGATTGCCAAACTTGTAAGGTTAGGACTGCCTAACGATAGAGAAGGATAGCCTGACCCGTCAAACCTGAACCACCGTTGAGAACTATAAATGATAGTGACAAAGGGACTGAAAGTACCACACTCCGCATTTTTACACTGGTGAAGCAAAAGCGTAGTACTACCCTCTGCTTTCAAGCGTTTAAATCAAGCGGCTTATCTGTCAAGATTCCTCCTTCCCCCTATCTAAACGCAGGGGGAATTTCTCTCGGAATTTCTAGCCTACGCTTCATTTCAAGCGTAACGTCTTCAAGCAAGTGCACGTGCGGATTTCTCCACTCTTGGTTTCACAGTGCTCCTCAGCAAACCCTTTGCGGCTCGCGAGCCTGCCTTGCCGTGGCACGCGTGGCGTGTCAGTGTTTGCGCGGCCCAGCCGTTTGCATTCCTGATTCGGGAGGCCTCGGGCTGGATGGGCCCACAGAGCCACAGGTCCCAAGGCGGGCTGAATCCGAGTGGCAGGTTTCTCTCTCGCACTCACGAGGTGTCCCTTCGGGTAACGAGAGAGACAGGCCGACGAGACGCGGCCCTTCGGCGAACGAACCTGCAGGTCCACCGGGTCCACACGCACGCTGGGCGCGCTGCGCGCTGTGTGGCCACGGCGAGTCACGGACACGGTCCGGCCCTTGGTCCGGCCGGGGATGCCGTCGGAAATTCGATAATCGCGGCACAATTACAACCTTGTATGCTAAACAGCCGAGATAGAGACGGCGATAGCAAAGGGCACGTCGCGTCCACCGCGGAGAGAGATGGATGCACTCGGAGAAAAGTGGGTCCGCGCGGCGCCGTAAAAGTCGGCGCCAAAGTTTCTTTAGTTCCGCGCAAGGAGAGTCGTTTTCGTCGCTCTGTCTCTCTCACACCCACACGGGGCACCCCATGAGTGCGAGAGAGACAGGGCTCGGCTGCGCGGCCGGGCGGCGCAAGTATCGCTGTCACTTCCAAGACGTTCCCGGTCATTGCGCGCGGCCAGAGCCTCGGCCAGAGACTTGTAGAGCGCGTTCGTCTCTCTCGCGCACAAACGGGACGACCCACGCGTGCGAGAGAGACAGAGAAACGACAGTGTGCCGCGCGGCCAGAGCCTCGGCCAGAGACTTGTAGAGCGCGTCCGTCTCTCTCGCGCACAAACGGGACGCCCCACGCGTGCGAGAGAGACAGAGAAACGACAGTGTGCCGTCCGGCCGGGACGACCCACGCGTGCGAGAGAGACAGAGAAACGACAGTGTGCCGTCCGGCCGCTCCCTGAAGCAGCACCGCCGCGGTAATCTCGCCTCACTTCGCCAACCAAGGGCCAACAATCCGCAAAGACACGTTCTGTTTGTTCGTTTCTTTTTAGAGTTTCTTTTCGCAGGGGGTGGTAACACCCCAAAGCAGCAGTGAGGCGAAGCTCTCGCTCCGATCTTGCTCCGTGCAGGGGTCACGGACTTCTTCGAGATTATTCAAACTAGGCCATTGTTTGCAAATCGCTTTGCACATATCGAAAGAGCATCACATAAAGGGTGCATTAGAGTCATTGGCAATCCCTTAACTGCTACTTCAGCCCTCGAAAAATCAAAGTGAAAACACCGAAAAATACAATAAGTCTAATAATTAGGTAAAAAAACCTCGGGGACGCCATCTTTGAGTAAATATTTCCGCGATTTTCTCTTTTGTACTAAGTAAAATTGGAATTTTGGGAAGGTCAATGCGTCTAATGCACCCTAAATTTGATGCTCTTTCGATCTGTGCAAAGCGTTTTGAAAACAATGGCCTAGTTTTAATAATCTCGGAGAAGTCCGTAACCCTTGCACGAAGCGAGAGCTTCGCCTCACTCCTGCTTCGTAGTGTTACCGCCCCCTGCTTTTCGTCTGTTTGCGTTGCCTCGTTGGTGTTGGGGGTAAGACGACTGGTTCCCACACGGCACTCGCTACAGCGCTCGCCCGCCACGGCGCCTTTCGAGCCCCGAGGCGGGGCGGGGCGGGGCGGGGCGGGGCGAAGCGTCTCCTCGGACAAGGAGACGCGGGGGAGAGATTAGCGCAGTCAGGTTGGTGTGCCGGCCGCAGGGCATCGAGAATGAGGCACACGACGCGACGCTTGGACCAGCCAATGCAGTACAATGCAGCAATCTGGAAACGGGGAGACTTTCCCTTTCCTCGGCTCCGGAGTGAGGTGGGGCGGGGTGGGGTGAGGTGGGGTGAGGCGGGGCGGGGTGGTGTGAGGCGGGGCGAG